CCCCGATGCACGGCGCTGACCCCGCGTCGCCTTCTCTCCCAGCGCCCGGGAGCTCCTCGCCGCCCGCTCGCGGTCCCAGAAGCTGCCCCAGCGGTCGCATGGCCCCAAGGACTTCCTCCCCGACGGCTCCGTGGCCCAGGCCGAGCGCCTGCGCCTCTGCCGTGAGGAGCTCTGGCAGTTGCTGGCCGAGGAGCGCGTGGAGCGCCTGTGAGAGGGGAGGGCCGGGGGCGGAGGGGACGGACCTAGACTTTCTGGGTTCACCGAGACCGACTCCTCCCCGCTCTTCGCCAGGGGCAGCCTGGTGGCCGCTGAGTGGAGACCGGAAGAGGGCTTCGTGGAGTTGAAGTCTCCTGCGGTGAGCGGCGGGGCTCAGGGACAGAGGACCCACCGTCTCTGCCCTCCAAGCTGCTTTTGACACTTGCTCTGGGCCCCACACAGGGTAAATTCTGGCAGACCATGGGCTTCTCAGAGCAGGGCCGGCAGCGGCTTCACCCCGAAGAGGCCTTATATCTGATGGAGTGTGTGAGTGGGGCCCCGGGAGGCTGTGGAAGGGGTTGTGACCAAGGAATGGGAAGGACACGTTCTTATTGGAGAAAAAGCATCACCATCGAGTTTTGAGAAAACTTATAACCGGACTTCTAGAGCAGGAGACAAGAATACCATGCAGGGAGCAGGGATTTTAGTACAAATTAGTGGTGCTGCCCCCACTTTTTTGGTTGGCCATATTCTTGCTGTGATGCTGGGAGTGGGGTGGATATCAGAGCGGGGAAGTTGCCCCATTTGGCTGTGGCACTGTGGGGACGCCCCACAAGCTGAACTGTTGGCCCCACTTCCAGGGTTCTATTCAGCTCTTCCACCAAGACCTACCGCTGTCTATCCAGGAAGCCTACCAGCTGCTGCTGACCGAGGACACCATGACTTTCCTACAGTACCAGGTATCTGCCACCCTCTTCCCCCCAGGAAGAGCCACCTATCCACTGAATCAATGAGTATTGACAAGCACCTGCAAGGTGGCAGGCACAATCACATACTGGGGCTACAAGACAGAGAAGGGTTGTGCTGTCAAGTGGTGGCAATTGGATAATGGATAAGTAAGCAAGCAGATGAACTGTTGACTTCATAGAGAGCTGAGTGCTAAAAGAAAATAAAGTGGGGGAGGAGAAGCAATAGAGACTGCGATATTCCTTCAGGTGAGAGAAGATAGGGACTTAGTCTCAGTTGGGAGTGGGGTGGGGTTGCAGTGAGTAAAAAGAAATGAATGAATCTCAGAAATATTTGGGGGAGAGAATGGTAGGACTCTGCCAGTGGATTGGATGTCAGGGTTAGGGAAAGAGAAGAATCAAGGCT